TTACGAGACTGGAATAACCAGCTGCCTTTTCAATAGCTATAAGATTACGAGGCTGGAATATCTAATCCGTGCTACCTGACATGCACTTTGAAATCCTGTCACCCTTAATGGAAGAGCATATGGGCTTTTGAGATAGAATTACCTAGATCATGTGCACAAGATGAGTAGATCTCTGCTTTTGTTCTTTGCCACTTTCAACTCAGCTGCCACTGACAGAATCAGAGTCAGAATCAGAGTCAACTTTATTGGCCAAGTTTGTACACGCAAACAAGCGATTTGACTCGGGTGAATTTGAGCTATCTGTATAAGAAATAAAAGAAATAAATTAGAACAATAAAAACAAGAGTAAGACAACCAGGTTTAAACTCAGTTTTCTATTTCCATGAATTATTACATTTATTATTTTGTATTTAGTCTTTCATGTTTGACAAATTTTGACACAATGCTTATAAATGTAAAAAAATGTGATTAAGTCCCTAAGAATGCTTAGAAAAGCAAATCATTTTTTAATCAAACAGGTGAGTTAGAGAATTATTTCCTGACTCTGCAACTCTCCTCGGCTTTGCAGGGCTTTCTTTCAGGTTCAGCTCATTGTTTAGCTGTCAGCCCACAGCTTTACTGGTGTGTTTTACTCTCACTGAGATAGCCTTGTTTCGGGGCGCTGCAGGTAACTGTTTTCAGTGAAACAGTTCTTAAAACAAACTGTACATTACCTGTTCAGCATCAAATGGCAAACACACAGTTAAGGGTTAGCCGTTGAATGTAGTGGAGCTTTTAGCAGCTAAAGGGAAAGACGTGACCGTTAGGAGTTGATCAAGACCCAAAACCGAGATTTATCAGGTGAAAGGAAACACGTCTCCAGCATATCACCTTCAGGTTGTGTCCAAAAAAATGTAAATAAACGTCAGTCAGTTATTGCAAGTTTAAAAGAAGAGTCTGATTCTGGAGAAATATTGTTGATATTTAGTTAGTTTGCATATTTGCATACTTATCATGTGGCAGATTCTCTGTCCCTCTGTCCTTTCCACGAGCACAAACGTGCACAAGCTTGAACATGCACTTAATTCTGAGGCACTCAAATGATTTACTGAGCTGCACTGATTTGACAGCTTTAAAAAATAGTTGTTTAACAGTTTGCATATTCAAGGCTTGTGGCTGAGAGATTTAAGACACAGACCATGTAATCGAGCAATGTCTGGAGACCTTCACTGCAAGCTGTCCCTCCTCTCTATCCTCCCATTTCCTTTCATCTCTCCACTGTCCCTGTTGAATAAAAGCAAAAATAACTGAAAAGAATATAAAATATATAATTCACAGTGTGTCACAACTACCCAACAAAATCTGTAACAGTGCAAATTGACCACAATATGTAACCAGCAAGATGGGTGTTTTTAATATGGGATGTTGTACAATCACCCAACAACAGATTGTGGTTATACGTTTAAAATATATTAAAATGGTTTGTAAGCGTGCAGCGCATTAAAAAGAGGAGGTTTTTAGTAAAAATATGTGATAAAAGACACAAATATGACACATTTTCAGGTACTAATTAAACAAAATAAGACTCGCTTACTTGAGCTTCAGCACTCTTTTTGAATGTAGGGCTGTTACCTCAGTGTTTTCTTGTTGTGGTTTTCCTTCTATTACTGAAAAGAATCTTCCTTCACTTCACTTCAGTCACTTAAGTGTTAAAGCTCTGATTTTTTTTTTCCTCCTGAGCAAATGTTGCTATTTCTGTCAGGTGTTTATGGCTCAAAGTCAAACTCCATGAAGGTGTGCAGGAGGTGTTTATACTTATGCAGCGTCAGTAAAGTTCACACACAAGCTTCCTGATTGAGAAATTGCTTTGTCAACACAGTCTGTTTACTGGTAAGGTGACAGTGTCACCGGGGAGATGGCTGGACGCCGGGAGGGAGGAGGGATAGATGATGGATTGAGGGTTGCGTGAAAGGACAGAGGGAGGGACGTTATCCCTCTGGTACCCTGTCAGGGCTCCTGAGACGAGTGACACTGCAGTAGCTGCAGTCCACGTCATCCTGGAGCTCATATCTCACCAGTTTACCTCCCCTTTCCCACTTTTACTGACACAAATCGTTTTGCAGGGGAATGGATCGATTATTTACCCTCTCAGTCTGACTCGTACAGTCTGTGATCAGCCCGTCACTGTCCATCTTCCTGTCTCTCGTTGCCTGTAGCAAATGCTATTACGAAGTGTTTAAGTGACAGGTCATAGCTTGACCGACTGCCTCCTCAATGACAAGCCCAGGACATTGCAGAATCAAAAAGGTCCTTGTATATAAGATGTTGAGCCAGCTGAGTGATGGTCGTGTGTGCATTTCTCTGTCACTATACTCTCTGTGCATGGGCTTTCCTGAATGTATATCTCATTTTTTACCTGAGGTTTATATTCATGGATGCACATCTGCATGATGTTCACGTGAGTACACATAATAAGATTCCTAGAGGTGACAGTGTGCGTGGTGATGTATGGGGAAGTATGTAGGCTGTAAAGTCTTAAAACAGTTTTCTGTGACCTTGAAGCCTCGTGCCCTTGCCTGCAGTGGTCCCGCTCGCACCGCAATGTTACAGAGGACCAGCAGACAGCCAACTCCTGGCTGCAGCAGGATGAGAGTGAGATGAAGGAATGATTTCTGGCTTTAGGCAACTGGTTCTCTATCAGGTAACACAATATTCAACCTATGTTGCCAAATTGGCCGCCCTTCTGAAAAAGTGCAAGATTAACTTTGATTAAAGTTTTTACTCCTTGAGGGAATTCAGGGGGACTAAAAAAAGAAAGTGTAGCATCTCCATAATTGGAAATTAACCTTTTAATTGGGCTCGTCGCATTTCTTCAAAGCCACAGAGCTACTTTGTTAATCTGACAAACCTTTAATTGCTGGAAGGGGCAAATGTACTTCAGTGGGAAGTGAGAAATCCCGAAGACAGGATTTTCCTGGAAAAGACTCTTATTCTCTATCACCTCTATTACAAATCTATATTTAACACATCAAGGAGAAATGTGTGCCCAAAATATAATCTAATGAAAAATTCAAGTGTTTATCAATACAGTTAATTTCAGCGCGCTCCTTAGTTCTTGTTTTTTCCAAAGTGGAGCTGGCGGTTATACGGCAGACTTCTGTAAAGATTTGGAAAACAAATGTGACAGCTCAATCAATTTAATTTCATAGAATACTGATGTCAGATGAAATAACAGGTCACGTCAGTATGTATTACTGAGAATGTAAACAAGAGGATGCTGAAGCCCCTGGGCAGATGTGCACCGCTGCAGGTATTGAGAGATGTGACAAATACTGTAACAGAGGAGGAATACAGTTTAATCCCCAAGGTGACGGTGGATTGGATGATCCTGCAAGTGGATGCTTACTCGGCAGGAAAGGGGGGAAAGAGTGGGTCCCACACTCCCTTTGCCTCATCAAACAGCGATTGGCTCCTGCAGAGTAAATCTCCTATCACAGAGCTTACCTATAGCGTCTCCGCCGACGGAGGAGGGAGCAGGGAGAACAAAGCCAGGTGACCCCCACATTCAAAATACAGTGAGTTGCCTGTGCATGTGTTTCTGTGTTTGTCTTTGTGTTTTGTGTGTGCGCTTCTGTGTATGTTTGTGAGTATGTGTGGGTACCTCTGGCAGCTCTGGTTTCTTATACGGTGTTAAATTACCCAGTGGGAGCTTTAATAGAGCTAGAGACACTCTTGATTGTGAGTCTGGATGAGGGAGAGTGAAGGGAGTAAAGGGGGAGCAGAGCGGAGCTGCCACGCAGGATAGAAAAGGGCACGACAACTTCTGCAGAGCCAGGGGACACGGGTGAGTGCTGCAGACATCTGCACACAGCTGGATTTCAACTTTTACATTCTGAACTAAAGAAGCATTTGCATGTATTTTTAGCCACTTTGAAGCTCCGATCTGATAAGGACAGTGATGTCATTATAGCCGGTGTGTCTTTCAATGTCAGCTCAGTGTCAGATAAGGCTAAGTTAGATTTAGAAGATTTTGGCCACAAAAAGTTGCTTTTAGAAACAATTTAAAGTGTCTAAAGTTCCAAGGATACAGATAAATCTGTAGTTTTTAGTTCTCTGTGCCTTCATCTGTCCTTCCGTTTGGACTCAGTAACCTCTCTTTGCTGACAGGGCACAATCAATATACTTATTTTTATGCATAAGCTCTATGTGATATCCTTACATAAGAAGATAAAATTCTATATCCTGGACTGTTACGTTATCTGCTACACTGCAAGTGGAAATAGAGTCTCAGGCCCTCAGTGTCAAGTGGACACTGAGGTTGCAGCCTAAAAGCTTGTGTCAGGATTTGGTTACCTGTCCGAACCACACAGAAGAAATGATGAACAGCAACTCACAGATAAAGTGAATGTAACACTAATAGACCTCTCCTGAACCTGAACAGGGTCGGGATGAATTAACCAAGTCAGCAGTTAGAAACTTACTATCAGACATTTAGAAATTGAGACGGGTAATGTGTTTTGGTTTTGATGAGTTTCTGTTTTCAGTCGTAAGTGAAGGTTCAGTTGTTTTCCGTACGGAAATGAAACAGTTTTGCAGCACATGATCAGCAATAATACTATCCATACTCAGTGTAAGCACTTTCACAGCCTGATTTGCCGAGCTAGTGTTTTCGTTTAGGTCATGGGAGAGAATTGGGAAAAAAATAACTGTACAAGCAGAGTATCAGATGGCAGGTTCTCTGCTGATGCAAACAGGAGCTGACAGAAAAATCTCTTTACCAACAAAACTGTATTGCAGCATTTAACAAAATATAACACAACATTCCTTTTTTTCCCCCCCTCCTATTTTATAGATTACCAAAAGGGCTGAATCCGAAAGTAGTGTACAGCTGCCTGAATGATAACCAGAAGGTGGGAGGCCCTGCCAGGATCTTCAGCGTGGCACTGGTTGTGGTGTCTCCTCTGTCTCCCGAACCAGGCTGATAGACGGAGGCTATAGTGGCTAGAGTGACAACATAGGTGATGGAGGTACCGCTTGTTAATTTTGAAAACATGGATGATGTTGGCATCAACCTGGGAGACCCAAGCGACTCTGGGTACCCGACCTCACCCACTTCAGAGGCTCCAGATCAGAATCTCTTAACCCACCGCCTGACTTCTCCTCACCAGTCGCCACACAGAGGACGACGTGGGCATCAGTCTGGTCAAGACGGGTTGTCACCTTCCACTCCTCCGACTCTGACCACTAAAGCGAACTCCAGCAGTGGCAGTTTGATCTCGAATCTAAAGCTCCTGATCAACAGTGAGTCTCCCACTGACAGCGTCTTCAGCAAGATGCCGAAGGAATATTATGAAAATGAAGATTTGTTTGAAAGGCACTGCCTGGAAGAGAAAGATGAGAAAGTCGTCATCAATATTTCGGGCCTGATGTTTGAGACCCAGCTCAGCACCCTGAACAGGTTTCCAGAGACCCTGCTCGGCGACCCCATGAAGAGGATAAGCTACTTTGACCCAATGAGAAACGAGTACTTTTTTGACAGAAACCGCCCATCTTTTGATGGGATTCTCTACTACTACCAGTCAGGGGGTAGAATCCGCAGACCAGCCAATGTTCCCTTAGATGTTTTTGCTAATGAAATAGTTTTCTACGAGTTGGGTCATGAAGCGATGGAGCAGTTCCGTGAAGATGAAGGGTTTATCAAAGAGCCCGAAGTCCTTTTGCCCACCAATGAACTCCAGCGACAGTTCTGGCTCCTGTTTGAATACCCAGAGAGCTCCAGCGCAGCCAGATCTGTAGCTCTGGTTTCTGTGTTTGTTATTGTCATATCCATCTTCATCTTCTGCCTGGAGACTCTGCCTGAGTTCAGGGATGACACTGACTTTCTTCCGGGTTTGACCCAAATTATTAACGGCACCCAAGACAGTTCTGCCCCTCACCCTGCCACTAAAGACATAATGGCGTATGTCACAGACCCCTTTTTCATTGTGGAGACTATTTGCATCATTTGGTTCTGCTTTGAAGTTGGTGTTCGCTTTGTGGTGTGCCCCAGCAAAAGTGATTTTTTCAATAACATCATGAATATCATTGATATAGTCTCTATAATTCCCTACTTTGTAACCCTGGGAACAGAGCTGGCTACGACACCTGATGACGACATGAACTCCAGTCAGAACATGTCCTTGGCAATCCTAAGAATCATCCGTCTCGTGAGAGTCTTCAGAATTTTTAAACTCTCCCGACACTCGAAGGGGCTTCAGATTCTGGGGCAGACCTTGAAAGCCAGCATGCGGGAACTGGGGCTGCTCATCTTCTTCCTTTTTATAGGAGTCATCCTATTCTCAAGTGCCATCTACTTTGCAGAAGTGGATGAGCCCCAGACGCAGTTTGTTAGCATCCCCGATGGCTTCTGGTGGGCTGTGGTGACGATGACCACTGTGGGTTACGGAGACATGTGCCCCATCACTATGGGAGGCAAAATGGTCGGCACTCTCTGTGCCATTGCTGGTGTCCTGACCATTGCCTTGCCCGTCCCTGTCATCGTCTCCAACTTTAACTATTTTTACCACCGTGAGACTGAGCAGGAGGAGAAACAGGTGATGGATGCAGCAGCAGAGGCTGCCCAGAAAATGTCAGCAGCTAACAAGTATGGAAGCACACTTTCACTGAGCAAAAGTAATGGCACCTGGCAGAATGAGAAAAACGGCATGCACTGATAAATAAAACTGCAGCATTCATTTATATAAAGGGCATGAAAAAACACACATGGACAAATCAAACATATCCGTCAGTGAGATACACTGGGCGATCAGTTTATCTTTCTCACTGTTTTGTACTCCAGACATGGCAGCATTTGTGCAGTTAATTACAGTATTAATAGGCACTGTGTGGCACGACAGCATTTACACAAGTTGTCTGCCTGCATGTGGATGTGTCAAAGTGCAATTAACACAACTCAGCAACTACTGTCAGTTAATTTTGATGGGAAAGAGCAGAAGGTAAAATTATTACCTTTCATCCAGTGCAACCTGAAGAAAAACGTGATGGCTCATTTGTACTATAGACAAACATTTCACCTTGAAAATGTAGATTGTTAGAGTGAATACTGTACAGACAGGATAGGTAGTGTAAGCAGTGAGATGTCCTGTGTATTAGCAGCGTGAGTTTATCCCGAGGAAGAAAAGGAATCAAAAATGGTCTGATAATCGTAGAGTATACTCAGAGCTCGTGTTACATTACAGTTCCATGTTAGTCTACACTTCATCGTATTCAGCTAAATCTAGATAGGACTTGGCATGATTTTCAAGGGCAGGCAAAAGTGTCCAGTGTGAGGCAAGAGGACATCAGCGCACACATTGTCTTATCAGCAAATCTATAGTTGTGAATGCTCAGCCAGCAGCACTTCTCCATATGACAGCGTAACATTATCTGTGTGATACATAGTCGGCATGTTAGCACGTCTGGTATTAATCTTGTAGATAAGCTGCGAAGTATAAATCAAACCTGCAAACTATTTACTGTATGATAGTACGTGCAGGAGTTGCTACAGCAGTTTCAGATCATAAAACTGCAGATTATGTTTGTCTTCAGGCTTTTTTTTTTTCTTTTGCTCCAAAATCATGCAGATTTAGCTGTGTAAGGATCACCTCCTTATGTGTTGTTATAATGTGAATTTTCCCTTTAAAACCATATCAATTCATTGCACTGAGAGCTTTTTTTCCACGTATCACTCATGCACTTTTGGAGCTTTACAACATCCACTGTTGGCAGGGAAAACCTGTTTATTAGAATGTATAGAAATGTGAGACGAGACCTATATTTGTGACTGAGAGAAGGCAAGAAAAACACCCCTTTGCACTCTTTTATTTGAACATTTCTCCATTTGCCTCTGTTCTCTCTTTCTTTTTTTTATTGCATGGCATAGTGTGCCGAAATGAGGTTTAACTCCTATTACCAGTAACTGAAAGTTTGACATATTTATTGTGGCTGAATGTATTATAGTATTTTAATCATATAGTAATTATCATTATATTCCATGTGATAGGGAAAGCCAATACCTTAACTGGATTTGTGAAATGAAGACAAGAAAAAGATGAAAGTGCACAGTTCATGCAAAAAAAAAATAAAAAAAATGAATTGGCACTATATATGCATGCCACAATTGAATCTTGAAAATGTACTGTATAAATACATATAAATACAGCTTGTAATGAAATGTAAATGGATGTAGTTGTAACTCAGTCAATGCCTTTCTAATAATCCTACAATATGCAATAATGATGACAAGTGGGTGGGGAAAAAAAAAAGTTTTATTTTTCACCCATGGAAAGAGCAATACCTGCAGTTAATATGAAATGCAATAAGGTGACGTCAGTCTGTCACTTGGGTACTCAGCACTTTACTATGTTATGAAGCACTTAATATTTGAGGACTGTTACTGTATGTGTCAACATTGTACAGTATCATAATTTGCTATGTTTTATTTGTCCTGCAAAGAGTGCCTTTCATTAAACATGTATCATAACTGTGTGACGTTTCCCTGACGTGATTTCATTTCTGGGATAAAATGCAATCGAGCAACTTTAAAGGTTTGAAACTTTTTTTTCTACTTGTTTAATAATAATCGTGATGAATGGAGGTGTAAGTGTCATGTATTGCTTCGGGGCTGAATACTCATTATCACCTCATGTAAGCTGTTATTAACGCCTCCTCGCTGCTGGTTCTCAGTGCTGATATCATGATGGCATCCCTCTCTCTCTCTCTCTCTCTCCCTCTCAAAAAAAAGAAAAACCTCCTGGGTGACTCTTTACATGTGTAATATATACACATATACACAGTGTTGTGTCGACGGCAGCCTGGAGGAGCAGACGTTTCTTGCTGTGTTTGCGCTAACAAGCCTGTGAGCTAATGAAGAAATGAGAAGGGTACAGCCAGGCTAAAAATAGGGGGGAAATCAAAAAGAACGATCAAATAATACAAAAACACAACAGATGGAAAACTGACACATTGAGGAGTTTTTGTTGCTTTCTGGAATATTCATCAAAAAAGGGAAAAAAAATCTCTTTCTATTGGCAAAAACTCCTCACTAGATGGAGAAATTCTAGTGCTGTGTACTTGACAATGCCTTTGACTGGGATCGCTTCAAAAGCAAAAGCACCAAATTAAATATGCAGACCAAATGAATCATTTATAAGATTATCTATCTTGGCCTCCAAGGCTAGGAGGTGGCTGTTTCACTTGATGCTTTACTGTCCAATACAATCACATCAAGGACACATTCCCAAGTACCATGTTTAAACAATATCTAAGTATCTGTGCACAAAATTTGCAAATGTAATGGCCCTGATTGTAGATTTCCTGATTGGTGGTTCGGTGATGCAAAGCCGTGGCAGCATTTTCTAACTAAAACATACCGACTGTGTTTATGTCGTCTGTTCCGACGGCTGTTCACGTTGTCACCCAACGCTCAGGTCAGCGGGTCGCCCTTCTGCCCTGCTGATCACTGATCGTACAGTGATATCCCAAAGACAAGGTCTGATCGCATTTTAGCATTTAACAGACAGGTGGCTCTGTCAAGGTCAAAGCCAATGTGAGGCTATCATCTATAATTCATTGGGTGTTCCATGAGGAGATCACATCCATCCTGCCTTTGATAAAGATTCACCCCAAGAAATCCATTCAAAGACCAGCAGATGGTCGAGACACTGTGACACAGCGGAGTGTGCTGCAGCCCTTAATGGATCTAAAAATATCACCCTTGCCTGACTGTGTTCTTTCTTTTACTCCCCAAGTTGGTGACAAGCTGTGTCCAACTGCTTAAAGGAAAACAATGGATGGGACTCACACGAAAGCTCAGACAGTGAGTCTCATATCAGTAGATTGGGTTACGGTTTTGTCAGCAGACACGTTAAGCCAATTTCAGAGCTGCACAGACAGCAGCCTGAGTACTGTAGTACGCGCCCTCCAGAGGGCAAAGTCACTTGGAACTCAGCAACTTGTGTTTGTATTAAATCCCTCAAAAGTCTCCAGTTTCTTCCAGTAACTCTTCTGGATGCAGGACAGAGTGCACAGTAGCATTAGGAGGATGACCTTGCTGTCACATTATTTATCAAAGTGTGAACGAAGAGCTGCTGCAGGTGTAATATTGAGAAGCAAAGCAATCCTTGTGGGTTTAATATTCATTAAAGTTCAGCTGTGCTCACCTACAGTATTACTTGGGCCATTGATCCTATGCCCTGACTTTGCTGACCAAGAACGTTCTGACAAGGGTTCTGCATTACTTTTATTGCTTCTTATTAACTACGGGACTAATATAATTGAAGCAAAAAGCAAAAAGCCGCCTTACCAAAAGGGACAGCGGTGCATTATGGCAAACAAGCAACTTTTTTTTTTTTTTAACACAGGAGTAACTAAGGTTCAGGAGATGCTCCATCTGCTCTCTCAGCACTTGGCTGCAGGACGGACAGGTGGACACGCTCTGCTTCTTAGTGGGTTGAGGATCAGGCATCCTGACACAGTGCGATAACACACTCCTCCACAGAAGGAGCTTGTTTGGGAGTCATTTTCTTTGCCTTTTCTAGCTTTGTTTGCTTTACCCAAGCTGGAAATCCCTGATATTACTTGAAGAATTCCCTCATTTATTGCTGTCGAAAATCTGAAGACAGTACATGAATCAACTTAAAGTACTTTTACAATAATATCTGAGTAATATTTATAATGGTAATAAACAATAACTCATCCCACTGTACAGGATTTCCTGCAAAGCTAAAAACAGATGTATCTGATTTCTCTGTTCCTGGACATCATTTTGTTGTCTCAAAAGTTAAAAAAAAAAAGAGCACTAAGCCCAACTATTAAAAAAAAATCTCTGAGTCTTTTTTTTAAAAAGTAAAATTACTGTCCATGTTTGTGACTTCATTTTAAGGATTTATGTCTTTTCGAGGGCTGCAGGGTGGTGTGGTGGTTAGCATCATTGCCTCGCAGCGAGAAGGTTGCTGGTTCGGACACTCGGGATCTTTCTGCGTGGAGTTTGCATGTTCTCCCCGTGCAGCGTGGATTCTCTCCGGGTTCTCTGGCTTCCTCCCACAAGGTCCAAAAACATGTCGAGGTTAATTGGTGATTCTAAATTGTCCGTAGGTGTGAATGTGAGTGTGCTTGGTTGTCTGTCTCTAAGTGTAGCCCTGTGATAGACTGGTGACCTGTCCAGGGTGTCCCCTGCCTTCACCCTGAGTCAGCTGGGATAGGCACCAGCCCCCCCGTGACCCTCGTGAGGATTAAGCGGTGTATAGATAATGGATGGATGAATACCTGAAATCTAACAGTTTCATAAGTATAATCATAACCTGTTAATGGCAACATTTGTCTACACTGCTAAATATGAAGTTATCTTACACGTTAACACATTGTCTCTTGTATTTTGCTTTCAGTGATTTGACAAGACACTGCAGTGATTCTGACTGAGAGGTTATGACAGGAGGACTTTGTTGTTAAAAACTCTTCAATTATTTAAATGACATTCTGATCTACTTAAATAATTCAGAGTTTAAGAGAAACATTTATGTTGACTAGCTTTCAAAATATCAAATAAGCTATTATAATTAATATCACAGTAAATCAATAAAGCATTTAAGCCATGTTGTATGCAAAGGTAATTCGTCTTTTGGAGGTGGTCATTAATCGAGTGATTGTATTCTCCAGCATGTGACTGAATATGTTT